TCCAGGACAAAACCAGCCGAAAGCTGAGCCACTCTATGAGGTGCGTGATCGGAGCCCGCCGCTTCTCGATGGTCTGCACAGGTGAGAGTATTCCCACATGTAAGGAATAGCAGCCACGATCCACATGAACGCAAGCGAGCCTGCGACTGGCCAATTGAATCGGAACCCGAAAGTGTATTTGGTCACTGCATATTGAAACCAAAGCAGGTTGTTGAAGGGGATGCCGATGCACATGCAAAGCGGAAAGAGGATCCACAGAGCACCCGACCATGGCATCGCGCGCCGATCCTCCAACAAAGCAGCATCTCCCAGAAAGACAGGAGCACGAGCGGAGGAACCTGAAGCCATCCGATCATCCAGCCTAAAGCGGTCCAGTCAAAGGGATCCGTGACGGCCATGTGCACGTAATGGCAGAAAATTCCAAGCAGTGGTGGTGCTGTGTTTGCCAGTACAAACCGGAGGTGCGGGGCACCGGAACCCAAAATCTCCCGCACGAAGCCGCTAAGCTGAGTCCGGACCATGACGTCAAACTTATCCAAGTGGCCCTCGGGAGTTGTCTCGTCGGGAAACCAGCGCTTCAGCGTCTGGAAGACTAATTTTCGGTCGCAAAGCAGTTCTTCTCCAGTTTCGGGGTGGCAATGATCCATCTCGCAACAGCTGCACTCAGAAGCCCTGATGCTGAAGGCGCCCAGCTGTTCCTTTAGCTGCAGCAAGGCTTTCATCTGCAGTGTGCCGAAGTAAAGGCTGGTCGGTAGGACCAACAGAAGTGCTGGCGCCGCCAAGACAAGCACTGCCACCACGAAGTCCCAATAACGATCTTTTCTGTTGGTCGAGAATTGGGTTCATATTCCCCAGTCGAACCTCTACATCTTGCACGATGAGTAGGTGGAAGCAAAGCACGAGGAGCGTCGCAAACATGGAGAAGCAGAGAATCAGCGGTCCCATGCCTGCCGGAGCGAACTCGATGTCTTTGCCCTGCCCTGGTCATGCTTTAGGAACGAGGCGACTTCGAATGCTGTCCACAGACGCGTGAAGTATCTGGGGCTCCAGAGGACCACCAAGTGCCTGGATTTCGAGAGGAAGCCACCCAAGCCAAGGATTCCTTGCGTCTTCAGGTGCGGGTCATGCTGGGCGATGCAGAGCCTGTCCAGGAATACCATGTGAGGCTTAGGGAGACAGCGCAGTCGCTGCCAGAAGAGGAACACAAGCCAAAACGTGCCATGGATGCACATTGCTCCGGTGACCCAGCCACCAGGAAGTAGCTCCAAGATGATGAGAACACAGATCGCCGTGCAGGCGATAAGGCTTGCCACTGCTGCCGGCACGCTGTTGAAATAGACCAGCAGCGTGACAGTTTTTTGCCAACGTCTCGTCTTCCAATCGTGACTCAAGAAAGAATCAATCCTCTCAACGCGCTGGCTCAGGTGGTAGCTATCCCCAACATGGCTTCCTCGCCAATGTGCGCCAAAGCCTTGCAAGCAAAGGCCCAGTAACGGCCCTAAGCAGCTCAGAATCAATCTCTGAGGCCAGGGACGACACCGATGTTCTGCCCAAAGATTTCCTGACTTCTTCTATGCGAACATCCACGTCGCACAAAGGCTCAGGCTCAGCAGGCTGGGGCACCATCGCTGCTTGGACAATTTAAAAAGCTTGGAAAATTCTCCAATATGAAAAGCCATCTAAACCCGTGTCAACTTTAGCCGACTTGAGCTGAAGCAAGCGATAAGTTCAAGCGAAACAGCGCAGACTTGCTCGCCAAATGAGACCCACATTCCTGGCAGGCACAAACATCTTTCTGGCCGCAAAAATCTCGGGCCCGCACGGAGTATTCACGCGGGCATCGCCTTTTCTCCAACAGCAGAGGTTCCTTCTCTGCCTCGGGGGCCAAGGTTTGATGCCGGGCGGGATGGAGGATTCAAAAGCCGTCGTAGAATAAATGCAAGACAAACAAGAAAGTAGCCGCGCATGCAAGGTTACAGGGTACAAGTAGGATCCCTCGAAGCCAGTCCGAGAACGATCAAGACACCCTGAGCGTGAATACATACCCTGGCCCTCGTGCCTGACCTTGGGCCGTGAGCTGCTGGCACTCTAGGCGACGGAAGTGCCTCCAAAGACAGTGTGTACACTGCAGCCATGAGAAGCTCATCGAGGCGTTTTAGGCTTGATCAAAACTCTCCCATTTAACTGTTGAGGCTATAGGAGAGAACCCCGCACGGCCCGTAATCTTGATCAACCCGCATCTAGGGCTTAAGTTTAGGAGAGGCGCCTACAACAATGCCAGAATTCACAACCGTGGCAACTCTGGATTTCGGCGTGCCGCCATCTTCGCCTCAACCCACGGTCATAATTCCACTCTCAGCTTTGTTGAGCCTAAAAGGGGTCCAAGCAGTGCCTCATGCGCCATCGCCCATCGCAGATCGTCGCCGCCTGTTGGTCCACGTGGCGTTTCTTGAAGACGTTCGAGCCTCGGAGTTCCAGCTGAAAGTATGCGTCACCCATCGTTGACACTCCCCACTCCCCGAAGCCTTCATCACTGGAGCTTGGCCGAGGAGAGAGGCCGTGGATGCGGAAGTTGCTTGCTGAAGACCTGCGCTTGAGACAGGTTGCATTTGTTCAGTGCTCAGCGAGCCACTGCGGAACTATGAGGAAGAATATGGAAGCCGGCAAAAATCACCTACTGCAGAGGGGTCTAGGTTGTTGAGGGTATTTCGGGTGCCTCAAAAACCCGCCCCTGGCCCTTGCTGCATCCCAATTCCCCCACACTCGGAACGCTGGGCCCTAGCCTGGCCTCATGCAGTCGCGATGACTGATGTATCTTGATGTCATTCTTCGGTCGTGGCCGCCTTCAGATTCCTTGGTGCGGTTTCAGCAGCTTGTGGCCCCTCACATGCACTCGTCAGGGGTGCTTACAGGCGGCCCCAAATCTCTGTATTTCTCAAGCAAACATCTCACTTGAGACAGTGGCCCGGCAGTGTTCACCATGGCCGACATCACAGCAGGATCAGTCTTTTCAAGGACGTAGTCCACAAACCTAAGCTCTCGTGAAGCAGAGCATTCAGTCAGCGCCTGGTTCACAATGCGAGCGATTATTCAATAATGTCCGTAGCCCAAGGTTGTAAGGGGGCGGACTGGCAGGCCTTCAAAACTCCGTATACCCCACCGTTCGAGTGGTGTAGATTTTGGTTCCTTTTTGCTGCGGAAGGAAAACTTGCAAGTCAGAATGGTTGAACATATCAAAAGGTCTACTGTCAATGCGCAATGCCAGGTGTGATGGTTTTCCACATTCTGCGCACTTCCACAGGCCGCAGGGCAGAAAAAAACACTAGGCAGCCAGACCCGCAATGTCTCTGTGTGTGTGTGTGTGTGTGTGTGTGTGTGTGTGTGTGTGTGTGTGTGTGGGTGTGGGTGTGTGGGTGTGGGTGTGTGTGTGTGTGGGCGGGTGCGTGCGTGCCTGTGCGTGCGTGCCCTTCTCCGCTCTCAGCATGTTCTTTCGATAGCGCGACTCGGTTGGGGGCACGGCAAAGTTCACAGCGTGACTATAGTGTTCAAACCTGCTCTACAGTTTACGTGCATGCTTCCAGACTCAAGCACGACAGTCACGGCCAAACACAGCTCCGCCTGAAATGTTGGACCTTCTTTATGCCGCCCCCGCTGCCCGGAAGCTTTCCATCGGACCCTTGCCCAGCGCTCAACCAAACAAAACAGGGACCAACATTACAACAGATGTTCGACTTCTCCTGATTCTTGCTAGCCACCAAGCTCGTTCTTAGAGCCAGGTCGGGCGCGGGACTGACATTCTTTAAGAAGAAGTCTGTTGGCATTGCTTTTGTCTCATCAGACGGGAAAGGGCTGTAAGATTTCAGGTGAAGCGACGTTTGGGCGGGGGGGGGGGGGTGCATGGTACTAATATCTAGCAGTTTCTTTTGGGCCTGGAGAATATGCAGGGATTGCAAGGCGTTTTTGCATTCGACCTACGTCATGTAAACAGCATGTGTGCACCAGCATAAGTCTGGCACACGTGCTTTGCGCTGACTTCGCAGAACTTCACTTGTTCGGTGGGATGGGTGCCTCCTTCGTAACCTTTCCAAAGCTGGTCAATGGTTTTTTTGGGGCCTTGGGCCCCGGTGCTATGAACCTCAGCTCTGCTTTCAGGTAAGCTCCACGCTGCTCCTGTCCGTCTCCGGGGTAGTAGGGCATTTGGCCCTTGTACTTCCTTCTCAACATGCAAGTCAACCCTTAATGAGGCTTTGAACGTGCCAGCAGCAAAGCAAAGCCAGGTCCTCACAAAGTAGAACGTGTACAGCGGGTACAGGAGCCTTGGCCAAGGATGACAAGACTACTGTGAATGTTGACGCCTTACGCAGAGTGCCCTCCTATGCTGAAGCTCCAAGTTCCAAAACAACCCGAACCAACCGCTGCCCGAAGTGCAAAGCCGGGTCTTCATACGTCAGTTCGCTCGGAGCAACCCGGAACTGCGACTCAACAGAGAACCACTTTGAAACTCACAACCCCACACAACCCTGCATGAAACTCCGTAACACCCCGATGAAGGCCCCGAATACCCTTGAGTGCCCTGTGCCGCAGCCGAAGCGGCAGCAAGGAGGCAGAACCTGCGCCGATAGCACCCCACCTGAGCATTTCCTACTGGTTCCCACATCTTGAACTCTACAATTCCGAAGCTTCCAAAATATTGCCTGATCCCCTACCCAGAACCGGTAAGCTTTGGGATATTGGCGGTATAGGGTCAGGGACTTAGGGACCAAAGGGGTTTGTACTGAGGCATTACGGGTAACTGCTCAGCAGCAAGAGTAGGAGCTCAGGGCCTAGGCTTAGAAGGAGAGGGGATGCGTAAGACTGAGCTTACTTTGGGGTTCCTCAAACTCCTCTTAGAGAGCCCCTAACATGCCCTACAACCCATTAAGCCGCATCAAGAGCACTCGCTCACAAAAACAAACCAACGCCCTACAAATCTCCTAGCCAGAGCCTAAAGACCCTTCCAGCCTTCAACATGAAACCCCATACCACGCCTCCCTGCGTCTCTCCCTCCCTCCCTCACTCTCTCTCTCTCTCTCTGCCTCTGTCTCGCCTTGTTTTTCTCTCTCTATATCAATCGGAAGTCCTCTCGGAATCAGAATCAACGCGCATCGTACGAATGCAACAGATGTTTCCCCCCCGTTCTTGGTGAATGGCCCCTAACTTTATGCAACGAAAAACACTGGTATTCTACACAAAATCATTTTCCGTATCTCTGTATCTTAGGATGTGACGGGACAGAAATGTGCATTACTAGCCATCAAGATCTGAAGAAAACATGTCTCACAATGTGATTCAAAAAACACTTCAGCTTAACAACTATCATCAGGGGCGCTACCGCTAAATATTTAGTGTGTCGCGATACTGCATAATTAATTGATGTGTTCATGACAAAAGGCCCCTAACTCATATATTAATTTCAAAGGTGGCTTTCATTCCTTGAACAATCCTTTGGACAAAGGGATTCCACCGCCGGCTTCCGCGGAGCTTCAGCGAAGACATTTTTCCATTGCCAGGGACTTCGCTTCCGCGGACCTCCGTGGAGCTATTTGCAGGTTTTGCTTCTGCGGAGCTTCGAGTCGCGTCGGTTTTGTGCAGACGGCCTTTCCTTGCTATTTGTCTTGCCTAGTTCTGTATGTCTTCTCCGCAACCTTCCGCAAGTGCTGCCTGGCCTCTTGCTCCCAAACCGTCCGCAGTTTTGCTTCCGAATCTACGTACGGGAACACAATCGCCCAAAAACGCGGCTCATTTGTTGAATGACGCTATATTTCTATGCTGGAAGCCACTGCAGGACTTCCATTCAATTGGAGGTGAACAACGTGCTAAAATGCTCATGCTACAGTACGAGTCGACCCTCCAGTTTGAACCACACACACGTTAATTCACATGAAATACAGAACCCAAAGGCCTCACATCAGGGTTTTTTTAAAGATGTTTAAAGCTGGAAGCCAGCCGCTGCGTTTCGACTCACTTCTCGAGCGCCCCTATTGCTGTCCTGCATTTTCTTTTTTTTTGCCCTCCATGAATTTCTGCAGGATCCCCTGGAGACGAGGCAGGACATTCTCACGAAATGATGGGAATCATGGAAGAATCAGCTCGTCGCCCCAAGCTTTGCCGCAGCCCTTCCGAAGACACCAGTTGGGTGGACCAATGGGGTGGGTAACTACCATATATATATACATGTATATATATATATATATAGGTACCCCCCCAGTTGTCCACCTATTTGGGGGTATGTGGGGGGGGGGGGGGGGGGGATGGGTTACTTCAGAGCTTCGTTACTTGAAAGCTTCAGCTTTTTTTATATTCTGATACTATAATATGCTGATCTTGTGTAGCTACTGGTGTTGTATAGTGAATAGTGGACTTATATTTCAAGGCCTCAATGGTCAAGCACGATGAGGGACAAGGAGTTTTGAAGTTCAATCCGGGTTTTGAACTTCAAAACTCCGGGATTCAAGATTCAAGGTTCCAGGGAAAAGTTTCCCCGGGATCTTGAATCCTCGGTCCCCGAGTTTTGAAGTTCAATCCGGGGTTGTGGACTTTAAAAACTCCGGGACCCAGGATTCAAGATCCCGTGGAAACTTTTCCATGGAACCTTGAATCTTGAATCTTGGATCCCGGAGTTTTGAAGTTCAAAACTCTGGATTGAACTTCAAAACTCACGGGTCTAGTATTCAACATGGTCGTCATATCCCCGAGGGTGATGTGTGGTTTGCTTAAGCAGGGGGTGGGGGGGGGGGGGGGGGGGGGGGGGGGGGGGGGGGGTGGGGGGGGGGGGGGGGGGGGGGGGGGAGGGGGGACCCTGTTAGGTTTCAGGTGTTAATCCCTAAGCCTTAAAGCCAAAAGGGTTTAGGGTTAAACCTTCAACCGTCAACTTTTCAACCTGCATTGTTTCAAGGTGAAGCAATTAAACCTCAACCCGTAATCTTTAAACCCTATAGGGTTCAGGTTTAAAGGTTTAGGGTTTAAGGTTTAGGCATTTAAACCTAAGCCGGCAATTAAACCTAAACCCTTAACCTATAGGGTTAAGGTTTAACGATTCAGGGTTGAAGAACTGGGCATTTAAACCTAAGCCATAGAGTTTAAGCCGCAAAGGTTTAAGGTTTGGGCATGTCCCGTAGGCCCCGGGGACGCGAGAATACCGTGAGCAAAAATCCTTTTATTCGCACATATGACATCACAACCTTCCAAATATACATGCACTTACATGCAAAAGGTAGTAGAGGCGGGGGTAGTATATATTTATGTATACCATGGAAAGCAACAAAACGGTGGATAACAGGGGGGGGGGGTAGCATATATATATATATATATATATACATATGTAAATATATATGTATATATATATGTACATGTATATGTATATGTCCCCTCAAGGTATATAAGCCCTGAACCACCGGGACTCCGGCAGCCAAGGGTCCAGGAATGGTGCGGGAGGCGGCTGCGGGCCGGGAGGGTAGAGCCTGAGGCCAATCGGTGCATTCGTTGGGGGGCGGTCTGAGGGCCTTGCAAGGGATGACAAAGGCTTATGATGGATTTGAGGCAGGGAGTGTAAGGTGGTGGATCTTGGCTGAGCTCTTCACTGGGACTGGGTCATGATGCGAATCTCATCCACAGGCACAGGAAGTGAAGCAAACCAATCATCGATGCTGAGCCTCGGCGGTCGGATGTACCCATGACTACACACTGTACGTGTGCAGTACCAGCACCAAGGGCAGCAAGATGCCACGCACCCGCTAGGAATCGACTGCCCCCACACTGTGCGCGTACATGTCACCTTGCCTTCAGCACCAAGCCATACTAACAACTTGCTTGTAGTTCCCCTGACACCCAACATGGCTCAGGCAAGGGCCACTCTTCAGGCTCGTCATGTTGAACGAAAGGATTCTCCACCTCAGACGGAAGCTTCTGCACACGCATCGCCCAAACCTCTGACAGCCCTTGATTGCTGGTGCCTCGAGGAAAAAGAACACGGCAAGGCCCGCTTTTGCGGACTCCCACTTGTGAAATCGGACATCCTGCACCGTTCATGGCTTGACAGGTCGAACTCTCTCAACCCCCAGGTCCTCAGAACCCTACAACCCGCACCCCCCTCCTACCCACAAACCGCCTGAACCCCAAGCTTCACGTCATATATCCTGCGGCGACACGGCCAGCGTCTCTGCTGACTTGAACAGGACCTCCTTCAACCTCAAGATTTAGCGGGCTTCGTGGGTTCTAGGAGCTCTGCGCGGTTTAGGGTTCTAGAGTTGAATTAGGGGAAACGACACATGAGCGAGGGCTTGTGATGTGACCTTGTGTCAGGGCCCGCGCGTGTCGGCACTGTCCAAGAAGTCTTCCACAGACACCCTGAGGGTGAGCCTCAAATAGAATCCTGAGAGGGCCAGGGTGAAACTAGTGTTAGTGTAAAATAGCACCAGCAAAGGCACAGGATCTGATGGAGCGACGAAGCTTCTTCTCACTGTGTTGAGAAAGTTCCTGACCCCTGAAAAACCCCAACTTCCTGAACCGATCATGGACCCGAGAATGGAGCGTTCCACTTCTGCGCTCGCTGGAGCCTCAGGCGGATCAGGTCAGGTTGAACCCACCTGGGGTGGATCTAAAAGTCAAGTCCTTTTTCCCACCTGAAGAACTGGAATGCAACCACTTCGTTGGTGCGGGCGCTAAACCACTGGCAGGCCACTGGTGGGATACTGGCTGGGACAGACTTCAGGGTGAGCTTCACAGGCGCCGGCAACCCTGAACCCGAAACCCCAAACTCCCCTGCACCCGCACACGTGTGAAGTGCCCGAGGCTTTAGCCACCTGGCACCGCTGGCTGGTGGGCTGCACGAAGAAGCCGTAGAGGCAAGACCTTGAAGGCAATCTGCTTGCTGGTTCTGAGTAGGGAATGAGTAGGGAATGAGGGAATTAGGGGGGCCCTATCCTACACGGGGAACATGAGGTACCTAACTCCCTGATTCCCGATTCAGGGGAAATGGGTATTCTGGGTCGTTTATGTTATATCCGTACTAAGGGATTGTAAGAGGCTTCATGTTGGTAATTATTTTGGCGCTGCGTTAAGACGTAGTGGAAGGGAAGGCATCGGCAACATCCTTGAACCATCGCTCGTTTGTACTTAAGTATATAAGAATATAAGAATAGAAGACGAAGAAGAATAAAAGAGCTTGAATATCATAATCTAAGAGTATAAACAGAAGCACATAAGAATACAACAACTCTATACTACCGCAAAATGAAAAATTAAGAGTACACTTGTAAAAAAAAATAAGCAATACCAATTTGTAGTACTTGTTGCTACTGGTAAAAGGACATCGGCACCACCACACGAAGCTTTCGGGCCGGGGCTGCTCGCAGGATCCCAGGACGGCGATCTCCGAGCTAGGTCGGAGGTAGCGCGAGGGCGGGCAAGAAACGCCTTGTGCGAAGTTTCGGGTTTCTGGCTTTATGACTCGGCTAGGCTTCATCGGGGCTGCAGTTGCGGCTGGCTGCTTCCGACAAGGAACTAAAAGCTCACGGCCCCAGACCAGAATGCCACAATCACTCATCCTGTGCTCCACTCCCCCCCGAGTAAGGACTCGGCAACCCCAAGGAGTGCCGTCCGCACATTCGCGGCAGCTCGAATCACCTGAAGTCGGAGGCTGGGCTTCTTGTTACATCCGGACGTCGCTGGGTCGTTCGCGTGATGGGCAGCCCCTCGAATCGAATGCAGCAAAACAGCTGCAACACTCATCCTACGTCCTTGAAACCCTCAACCCTAAGCTATTGGCAAATACTTGCTGTTGGCTTCGAGGGAATGGAATAGCAACAACAGAACTTGTGATGCTACCTCATTTCTTCGCTCCGATTTAGAGCCAACAGTAAGACACACAAGAGGCTCTGGCAAGGCTCGCAGCGTTCCGTGCTTGCGTTGAAGTACAGCGACGAGGAAGGGCCTTTGAGTGGCAAGCACGAGAAGCAACGCAAGGCCGCGTGCTTGCCCAATAAGAGTACTAGTGTTTTGATAAATAACATCGCTACACAAACATAGCCATGTACTTACTGCACAAACGGTGTCTTTTGAGAACGAGAGAGAAGAGTCGCATGTGTTCCCAGCAAGGTCCACAAAGAGCCCCCAGAGGCCAGCACAAGCAGTATAGAGGCACTTGCCACCGATGAGGATCAGGGGTGGCACGCAGGCCTTGACGTTTCGAGCAAGGGAGGTGCGGCACAGCATGCAGCAGGAGAACTGACATGGCTGTGGCTCACAGTAGAGGCTGGCGGCGTTCCCCCACCCATAACCAAATACTGAGAAAGCATGCCATGCCCCCCTGTTTCATGTGTACGTCGCCTCCATGGCAGCGTGCGCCACGTGAACATGAATTTCATCGCATTTTTGCACTACCAAGATGTTCTTCAACAAGCGCCGAAAGCTTGCTTCTGAACCATGATTTGCACATAGGACCCCGTCCTTAAATCTCTGGTACCGCAAGCTCTTAAGCCCTAAGCCCCAAACATCCAAACCTCGCGCGCCTCGCAGTCCTCCAGAGAGGGCCCCGTGCACCGCGCACAGCTTGGATGGCACACTCGGGCGCCACGTGCCAGCACCACCTTCGGAGACGAAGGTCTGGGGGCTGAGGGTGTGAAAGAGGAACCCTTATACAAGTTAGAAGGTATACCTCGCATAAACGCGAGGCCCTGGGCCTAAGATACACCGTAACCCTAAGCCTAAGCTCTAACCTCACCCAAACCCAGAACCGCCTGGTAGACCAAAGGCGTCAGCGACCCTGGCAAGGAGGATGAAGACACGCCTTGCGTCAGGGCTTGATTTTGAGCATGGTTTTGTTTCGTAAACACAACGTTGCCAAACATCCATCAGCTGGGCTGCTCACGAACCTCAAGAAGCGTCCAGCCCAATGCAGCCACCTCCTTACCGACCGAGCTCCTCCCTACTGACAGCCATGCTGGCCCTTTGACCGCTCTGGCGTGATCTACTCTGGGCCGCACACTGCCGGAGAGGAAGTGAGCCCGGACACCTGCCGGTGAACTCAGCTTCATGCACCAGTGACCCGAATGTGTGTTGTATGTCTTGCGCAAATGGCTGGGACCACGACCAAGAAATCCCATTTGCCACCATTCATCCGCCACTCCAGTTCGGCATCTGGGTCATTGGGTGTGGCTGCTAACCTGGCCGTTTTTAGGGGGTTCAAATGGGTTCAAGACCTTAAGGCAGCTGACGACTGTTACATGCCCACAATTGTTCACATAATGCTGCATAATCCCCAAGCACAATCTCAGGGGAACCTCACTCCATGTGCATTTTCTCGGATGGACCTGGAACTTGCACCACTTTGAGGTCATGCTCGCAGCGCATGAGCGCTGCTAGGGTGATTCTGACAATTTCCGAATTTCTGGGACGACCGCGCGAAGTACAGCGACACGCGGGGAGCGAACCAGGCCTCAACAACCCCAAAAGAATGGGAGATGAGAGTGTCAAGCTCTTCCCGATTTAGTGTTTAGGCTTGAGGGGCCTCGCAATGGTGAGGCCCCGGCCATGTTTGCAGCGAGCCCCATGCTGTCCCACAAGTTCAGACCTTCGGATCGTAGTACAGGATTGGCCCACGGTCTTCACAGCATCGACAGAAGCATTCCGGCCTGCCAAAGTACCTGCCAGGATGTCTTAAGGGCTGCTGCTTTGCCGATGACCGGTCTTCTCCATAGCCGGGGTTTCAGGAAGCTATATGGCTAGTCAGGTTAGTTAGCAGAGTCACTGCTTCATCCTCCAAATTTCCTTGCAATTGGACTCGACTCCGCACGGAAGAAGGACTTTGAAAGCCCTTAAACGCATTGACATGTCTCCACGTCCCACATCAATGTGCATCCAAGTCCTCAAAGTTGAGACGCTGGGAGGTCCCCGCCTTGTGGCGGGTAGAGTCGCGCCGGGTCCGGCCAGAGGCCCTCGCCAGACGAGGCGATCTTCGAGCGCAGCACGCGGACCCTGCCAGGCCGACTTCATGGTGCTCTGCTGGGATCCCCAATGGGGATTATACTAGGGGGCACTATAATCCTCCCGATTAAGGACTGTTAGTATAAGGGAGAAAATCTCAAGTGCTCTGGTTTATGTCCCAGCTGATGCCCGTCTCCATCAGCTCTAGTGTATTGCCGGGTCTACGGAGTATCTCGAAGGTTCAGACGTTCAAAAGTCCTGTCGGGGGGTCCACCCCTCGGCATGTGGCACCTTTCTCCCAAGGTCGCAAGTGGCACCAGTGACATCCGGGCTTCCGAAACACTAGGATCACTAACGATGTCTGGTGTTAGGCAATTAACTAGGGCCTGCGGCGGAGACGGTGATACATCCCATGAATGTTTGTGCATGGAATCTTGCTGCGAATTGCTTTAAAATATGTGTCGCGCAAATGCCATGATGCTAACACATGCTAACCTGCTAACCCAAAGCACAGTCCAGAGCCCCAAAATTAAACTAAAACACACACACGCACACATCAAAGCCCCATCCCTCGACTCCCAACAATACTAACGACCTGTCCGTTAGAAGCCCCCAAACTCCAGACCCAATGCTGCGGCCCCTGCCCATACTCGCTGCCAAGCAGCTCTAGCCTGCTGTAGCTTGAGAGCGTTTAGGGTTTAGGCGGTTTTGGGGTCTCCTCAACGCCAAAAGGAGGGTCTAGGGGCCTCGATTGAAACCGCAAACCCTAAACCTCAAAACGCAACGCCGAAGGCCCAAATTCAACACACCTTAATTCTAACGAGAGCAGACTCCAAACCCAAACGATATGTGCATGTAAAGATACATCCGATTATGTTGTGCAAACTGAACGTAATCCACGCCATGTGCAAGATATACTAATACACTAGATAAGCACAGTATACACAACGTGCCTAACCTACTCAGACACACATGCACTCAGATAGCAAGATAGCAAGAAACTGATATGCCAAGAAAAAGATACCAAGATATTAAGCCTGTATGCATATATCATATGTACACACATATATTATATACACTGTGTATATACACACATACAGTGAAACGTATAGAATGCACATGAATAAACACATCAAGACATATGGGTGGCTGTCAAAATTATGGGCCCTTTTTGGGTACGCTAAATATTAGGTGCCGTATTATGAGAGGGATCCTTAAAGGGATCCTTAAACGGCACCATAGCATTGACAACCACACTAAACCCGAAACCCTAAACCCTAAACCCTGAACCCTGAACCCTGAACCCTGAACCCTGAACCCTAAACCCTAAACTACACACCCCAAAGCCTAGAGCCTGAGCACCGGCGAGCCCCAGGCCTCATGTCCAGGGGCTCCCCGATCTCAGCCTCCGAGGCTTCGGCTGGAGGCTCTTTGGCTTCCAAAAAAGGGGGGCGGGGGTTTAGGGTTTAGGGTTTAGGGTTTAGGAGTTTGGGGATTAGGGTGAGGGGGGTTGAGGGGTGCTTAGGTTTAAGGGGTTGAGAGTTCAGGTTCACGCGTAGGGTCTAGGGTCTCGGTTTTGAGGTGTATAGGTCAGGGCTTAGAAAGCTTCAGGGTGCAGTAGATGGAAGCCGTGAGGGCAACTGCTGCTTCAAAGATGTGCTATGTTTGTGGTACCCACCGGGAACCCTGAAAGTCTACGTAAAATAAAACTCTGATCGTGTTGCGTCTTGTTGATGGCTTTGGGCGTATAGAACCCAAAACCCTAAACCCGAAGTCATGACAGAGCCAGGGCACCTACGCAGCTCTGAAGGGCTGCCCCTCTAAGGCTGGGGCAGACACGTAGGCAGAGGTCACGCCGGGACGCAATGTGAACCTGAGCCTCGGGGAGTCTGAGGCGGTCGAAAATGTTTAGTCTTCTCTGAGGATATGGGGCCTTCACAGATGGGTACTTTGTTAACCTTGAAACCAGGATTTATGACAATGCAGAATATGGTGCATGATCCGAAGACCATGAACGTTGACTGCTGCGTGCCAGATATGCCAGATATGCTGCGCTGCCGAGTTGCCCCCGAGATGGGACTCGTACAGCCAGCGGGTCGGCCGCAGCTAGCAGGGCGACTTCCTGCGACTGGGGCGGATATCTGGATCCGGCCTCTTGCCGGGAGGGGGATCTTTAGTGTTGTGGAGTGGGATCTCTAGCGTCGTGGTGCGACACAACCGCCCACCCTTAAGGAAGGACTGGATCTACCTTGCAATGGCAGATGGCGTACTGAGAACGTGCTGTGGTGCCTCTTCAGACGAGCTGTCAAGCATTGAAACGGAGCCACCCGCCCCCAGCAGCCCCCACGCCCCTCCGGCCACACAACATGTCGCCGGGAAAACTCGCGGGCTTCCCAAAATAGGGTTCCCATTTTGGGGGTTCTTTTGGCACATATCAGGGGTGCCCCTATTGGGGGAAATGCCAACTTGTCTTCACGGAGCCCCGCCCAAAAGCGGGCTCTTGTTTCTGATGTTTCTGACGAGGCCCTGAACTTGTAGGGAAGACTTCAGAGTTGAGGGCTCTGTGTCCGAATCCTATGAATCACGTATACACAAACGCTGGCCCTCGTGTCTTGGACCCTACTCAGTTGCGCTCCAAACTTTCGGGTAAGATCTCGTCCAAGACAAGTAGCAAGTCCCACGATGATTAGCAACTTCAGGCTAAGTGCTGACGATGGAATTGCGACGGCAAACCAGACTGCAACGGCCTTTGCAAGCCATTGAAACTGCTAGTGCTGTTCTTGTACTCTGTCACGGCTGCAATGATTCAATCGATTGCCGCCCGCTGTCCTCCTATGCGAAAACATGATGCCACGCAAAACGGCTAGTTTGAACGGAAAAGGTATATCAACAGCATCATTTGCTAGTCAGAAGAAGTTAGTTATTCAACCATAATGATAACGAAAGAAACTTGTAATGCAATGCAACTACTCACTGGACGGTGAGCGGGGTTCAAAACGTCGTCTTCCCCTTTGGTTCTTCCATCCCAATCACTCTTTCTCATCTTCAAAGAGCGCGTAGTTCACCTTGTACGTTTCGCTGACTTGAACGGCCCATTGATAGAGAGCGGGGTACTTTTCTTCCATGCTGAAGCCTTGGCTGTGCAGAGCTTGTTCCATCCTCTTCTGATGATCGGACTTTGGTTTCGAGCGATCTTTCACTCCGCCGCAAATGGCAACGCTGAGGAAGATGTCCGCCATGGTCAAATCGTCGCCCACAACAAATACCAAGGATGATTTGTCGCTGCTTTTGGCTTGCTTGGCCTTGAGAGTTTCTTCAAGCTTTTGAGCTTTCTGCTTGATCTCGTCAATGGTAGCTTGCAATGTGGAGTCGTACTTGGTTCGCATGAAAAATCCAACAAGGAATCCAATGACATGCAGCATACACGAAGGGGGACCATCTCCGACAACTGCGCGCAACACACTTGGAGGGTGCTGTTTCAAAGCTCGCAAGAACATGCCTCGGTCAAAGTTTTGAAAGTCATCAGCCAGCTGGCAACACTGCATGACTTCGGGGCGAAGTGCTGCCGGAATCAGCGATTCAATGGTGTTCGAGGCCTTGCCGCCGCCGCTGCCGCTGCTCGTCTTCTTGTCGTTGGCCCACTCGACAATCTCCACGCCATTTTCCAAGACCAAAGCGTTCTTCTCCTTACCATTCGAGATGAAGGCGATGGGGACGGTGACACATTGCCAGGGACTCAAGCGTCCCAACCTCCAACGAAGGCCGGGTTCACCAGCAATGCTAACGTACTCTTCTTTCGCATACTCAAATCCCAACAGCTCAAGCGACCACACCACTCGACGTGAATAGGGACTGGGCTTGAGGCTCAAGAGTGTCATCGACATGGCGAAGAGATGTACTGCCTTTACTACTCTGGCTTTACTAGGCGTAGGTGTCGAAATTTGTGAGGTCTTGTTGATGCGAGTTTTGGCTCAGCAAAAACTGCTGCGAAAAAATGGCAAAAAGATCTCGCTTGCACATCAGACAGTCTGGCCATGATGCAGTAGATGTTGCTTTTGCCACGTGGTGAAAGACCATGGGCTTTGGGCAACAGAAATCTTCAACAAAACACATATCCACACCTTTTGGCAGAAGCTTAGTTCATAAGCTACCTATCTATCCCTCTAGTCTATGTTGGGCCCAAGAAAAACTACTAACTCCGTACTGAGAACTCGTAACCAAACCTGCAAACCCCGATTTGCAATGCCCACCAGTGCCACGACCCAACACCCAAAGACGTGGTGCTCTCGACTGCCAAAGGCCTCCGCCGTGGATGAGGGTACCAGATCCACACGCACGGCAACCATCTGGCTGTCTCGCGGCATCGCCAGGGAATAGTCGGCACGTTCGACACCTTTGGCTCGCTGTTTTGGGGCTATCAGCTAGTGGAGATCCCAGGCTACCTGAGGATCGGACGCCAGAACAACGGAACCGACAGCCCAATACTCTGTACCAGGTAGACCTGACATGTGGAAATGGGAGGTTGTTCTCAGTGAGGGCTACCTTACACAACAACCAAGGTTACAAAACAAATCGTACCCCTTCTGTGATCTACAGAGCAAGTGAGAGCGAGACTGAGACTGAAAGAGAGAATGAGTATGACTGAGTATGAGAGAGAGAATGGAAGAGAGGTAAAACCAGAAGAGAGGGGGAAAGAGATAGAGAGAGAGAGAGATGGGAGGGAGAGAGAGAGAGCGAGAGAACAAGAGAAACGAATGGCACGCTTCCGTTCGGATCTCGCGTGGTGCACCGCGTCGCTTTTTGTTGCCGTGTACGTAATACGTATCTGTATTCGGGTGCGTGGCTCCTATCAGGTTGCTCTTGTCTGATGAGGCTTGTACAGGAATCTATACCCCTTGAAGATGGGAATGAGAGGACCGCTGGAGGGAGGGGGGACCTAGAGAAGGCTTTTGGGAGGTGACCCACGAGTTTGTTGGCCTAGCGGCGACACTCGGTCTGTGCTCGTGCTTTTCTAGGGTGCTTTACCCAGGCTAGAACCTGGGCAAGAAACTCGCGCCAAGTCCTGCAGAGCACTTCCGCGTGCGCACGCGATGCTTTTTGGACCTGTGCAAGGTCAGCGAATGTCCACGCAACGGCGGCTGCAGCTCATGGGAGTGTTGCGCTTCCAGCGCCACCACAAGGCAGGGGTTGCTCGAAGGCAGTTCCATGGTGGTCTGTGGCAGTCTGGAGAAAGGTCGAAGGCGAACGTCTCAGAGCACACCGCCAGGGTTCGCCCAGGTGCCAGGGCTACAGGCGTGGCAGCGTCTCCCGTCAAGCTGTCAGGGTTGCCACGTCACCAAGTCAAACAGCTCGAAAGGGGCTCTTCCGGGTGGTGCCAGCGGATCCTCGAAAAAGACTGCTCAAGCATCCCAAGGCTAGATCGCATGCGATTTTGTTCGTGCTTCAGGCAGCAAAACCGATCGCGAAAGCTTTACCGGGGTGTTAGCCAAGCATCAGCCTCATAATCCTTGTCTCTGCGCGATGCGTGTTCTTGCCATTATTGTCCGAACTCGCGCGTTGGGCTGGGCTCCTTAGACAAAGGCATCAACAGATCGGAACATCGCCAAGTCTACCTGCAGCAACTCCCACTGTTCATCAGACACAGCCGCATGTATTTCTGCAGCGAGCACCCAAACCATGAAACCCTAAACCACTTCCGAGCATCTTCCCCAACCAGCAATCGATTCACAAGATGTATGCGGGCTCAACCAAAAACACGGCCCCAAAAACCGCCTGCTTCCTTAACCCCAAACCCTAAACTCTGAACCCTAAACCCTGAACCCCAAACCATAAACCCTAAACCCCCGACCCTAAACCCTAAACCCTCAGCCGCGGCTCCAAGCGCTGCAACTCCACGGGATCCGTGGAAGCGCCCACCACCGAGCCCGCCGTCCTGTCTGAAGCTTTTAGTTGCTTTGTGTAGGGTTTAGGGTTTAGGGTTTAGGGTTTAGGGTTTAGGGTTTAGGGTTTAGGGTTTAGGGTTTAGGGTTTAGGGTTTAGGGTTTAGGGTTTAGGGTTTAGGGTTTAGGGTTTAGGGTTTACGGGTTTAGGGGTGTAGGGTTTTGGGCTTGGGGTTTGGGGGTTTAGGGGTTTAGGTGTTTAGGGGTTTAGGGGTTTAGGGGTTTAGGGGTTTAGGGGTTTAGGGGTTTAGGGGTTTAGGGGTTTAGGGGTTTAGGGGTTTAGGGGTTTAGGGGTTTAGGGGTTTAGGGGTTTAGGGGTTTAGGGGTTTAGGGGTTTACGGGTTTACGGGCTTAGGTCTTAGGGATAGAAAACCTTAAAGGGTCCATATAGGGGGATATATGGTACCTCTTTCCCTCATTCCCTACGAAGAACCACCAACCCCAAATATAAACTGTACTTATCACCCAACTATAGCCATGTTCGGCACTTAAGGGGCTTTTCAGTGGGTTATAAGTACCGTTATAATTCGATTATACGTACTACGAGCCCTACTCTACCCTTTAAGCCCACAACCGCGGCTTCGGGGTCCTCCCTCGGGCTGCAGGGGCGCTGGGGCCCCGAGGCCACATCCTGCTTTGAGCTGAAGCAGCTTGAGGACTTAAAGGGGTGTAAAATTCAGAGGGGTTTGAAAGGGTTTCATGGGGCTTAAGGGGGGGTTTACAGGCGTTTAAGGGGGCCTTAAGGGGGTTTTGCGGGGTTTAGGGGGTTTGAGGGAGGCTTTGGCTGCATGTAGGGGGAAAGGGGATTTAGGTTTTAGTTGTAGGGTTTGGTGGTGCAGGGCACCCTCTCACACCACGGCAACCAGTTTTAGTTTCTAGGGTTTGGGGAACATCCAGCAGGTGTACGTTGCAGCTAGTGGGATGTTCATGGGGCACAGGGAGGAAGTGGCGGTTCAGGGCTCAGCAGTTGGAGAGGCCGTTCAGGTGGCTTGGGCGAAGGCTCTAGGCTTAGGTAACCTTGCATGTGCCAGCCCATTCTGAAGTTTTGAAAGAGTATGGCAAGAGTAAGTGCAACATGCACACGGAAACTACTACACGACATTCGATTTCACCATTGCATGACATAATTACGAGCGTCACGTTGCATTTCGCACATCCACACACACACACACACACAGGGGCGCGCGCGCGCGTGCGCGCGCGCGCGGGGCCACACGCCCGCACGCCTGCACGCCACACGCCCGCACGCCCGCAGGCCCATACCCGCACACCCACACACGGGCACGCCATGCCCGCAAATAAACTCCCGAATTACCTACATGTACATGACTTTTAAATGGATACATGCCTACGAAGATATGTTCATACGTTCATTCACTAATCCATGTCATTCATTAACGCATGCATTCATTCAATAAGCACATAGAACAAGCGACAGTAGATATCTAACAAGCGATCTAAACCTATCCGATACCTATGGAAATGTACACATACATATATCATGCATACATGCATACCTGTATCTACAGTTTTAGATACTCTTACACGCGGATTTTACGTGTATAGACTAGTCATCGCATGCGCGTGCAAGCCTTAATTCTACTTGTACTGCACAGGGGAGGGACACAAGTCTCTCCAGGCTATCATCACATTGCAAAGATCTGTAAGCCCTCAACCCTTAAGCCCTAAACGTGGGGGCCTCATCATCCCAGGCCAAGTGCAGCTTGACGTCGTGTCTGTATCGAAGTCACGATGAACTTGGTAGTCCTCCCGGATTGTGGGATTTGTGCCCTGTGTGATGCAAAGGGCTCTTTGGCTGAAGAGGCCTACTGTAACCATTCCTCCGACCCCAAGCCTGAGCCAAAAGACTTGTGAAGCACACTGTAAGCACCGTCTCAAACTTTGAGCTTTAGACGTATCTCGGGCAGAAGCACTAAGACGTCAAGCCATCCTCTGCCGTCGGCCGTGAGAGTGGGAAACCGTGCTGGCCCAGAGCTGCTTCGAAGTCGGCGCGAGAGATCACGCTGATCCTGGGGATTAGGGCCTTTAGGGACGTGGAACATGGAATGCTCGGTAAGCACCCTTTATCCTTCAACCCAAGACTAAGTGCTGCACTCATCGGAAGCCCCTGCACAACGCTTGTAAATATGAGCCATACTGAGCATCAGGTGCCTTCGCGCGACGCATGAGCTGGCAAGCCATCTCACAAAAACGAGCATCAGAAGCATCAGCGGCCACCCGCACGGTGCTTGAGTCAACTGATTCTCCGGAGTCTGGAACTCTCGCATGCACATAAAAGGAATCATGCATCTACCGCACATTGCTGGAATGTGAGAAGACTATGACAGGGCTCTTCCCCAAGCGCCGACTCTCCGCGCACACGCAAAATTGCAACTCCGGCTTGTGCTGGAACGCACCTCAGAGCGGGTGCAGAACAAAGTCAACGACGAGTGGTTCAGTGCTGGTGCAGTTGTTGCATGCGACTGTCAGCTGAGCGGCAATATGCTGTCAGCAGTGGAGCCTGGCAACTCAGCGATTGAACGGCAAGCTGGTAACTGAGAACTAACTGAGCCCAGGCCTAAGCACTCGTGCCCTCCGTCCTCAACTCTGCCACACACCCCTCAAGAGCCTTTTGGTACGTAAAACCCACAAACCCACAAACCCCCAAACCCACAAACCCCAAAACCCACAAACCCCAAAACCCTAGACCCGAAACCCTGCACCCTAAAACCCTTTTACCCTAGAACCTCCCCTAAAACCCAAAATCCCACCCCTCAAAGCCCTCAGAGCCCTCAGAGCCCTGAGCTGCCTGTGGCGTAAGCACCGCGACGGAGCTTTCTGGCACCCCCAGGGCCTGGTCAGGGTTTAGGGTTTAGGGTTTAGGGTTGAGGGTTTAGGGTTACCATGGAACCGATTCCTCTACCTCATACGGTCATACGGCTCTTTGGTCGGCATTTCCTGAGTGTAGGGTTCAGGATTTAGAGGTTCGTGTTGGTGTTGGTGTTGGTGTCGGCGTCCGTGTGTGTCTGGTCGCAAATAGTTCGAGTTCCATTGTCAGTGCCGCTCGGAAGCCTGTCACACGTCTGTTGGGCAATCTTCATGCTCATAGCTTTTGAGCCGGGAGTGCTGTGGATTCTGGTTTGAAAGTTTAGGCTTCAGAGCCCGGCGAAGCCAAGAATGCCTGTGGTCCAAGGTGACTTGTGGCGGCAGACTATCTCACAACCTGGACTTTGGGACGTCAGGTGCGAAATTGGACTATTTGACATCGCCGATGGAACTGTGGAGCTGCCCAGCTAGCGGAAGAAGAAGCACCCACTAGCAGCTGCAGCAGAACTGTGTCGCCGCCCTCGGAAGAGTATTCTTCTTGCTCAGTCTTCTTTTCATTTCCCGGGTTCAGGTGTGGTTCTGTCGTCCTGAAGGCGGCTTCTTCACTGGCTGCCATTGTGCTGCGCTGCGTTTCGCGTGTGCTTGCTCCTTGCGGTTTGCACACCTTTTGCTGAACTCAACCTTAAACCATAGTTACACACTGTTCATGAGCCGTTGTCCCAAAAGTCCGGAGGCACCTCGATGCCGGCCTTCACCGAGCCCATGTGCACACCTGCAGTGAACGAGATGGAGGTACGTGGAACTGAACGAGGAACAGCCTCGCCCCACTCTAAACCCAGACTCCCAATTTCCTACAAGCTCACAACTTCCTCAACCTCCAAGGTTCGCAAGCGAGGAAAACCGCCACAAATGCACACCCTTGAGCTCCCGCCTGGCTTGGTGATGTCCGCCAAGACGGTGTCGAATCCTTGCGGGACGTCGGCTTCAGTCGCCCATGATTTATACCCGAGAACGACATACACCCTCGTCCCTCAACTGTTCAGCTGCTGTGGGCTGAGGGTCTAGTGTTCTGCTGTATCTTGGCACGAAGTGTCACTTTCTGATTTCTGGCTCACAACTACAAGTACAAGCCGGGATGCGAATGTCAGGTTGCCCCTCCACCAGTGCATAGCCTCGCGCTTCAAAAGAAGCCATGGCTTTCGGGTCTGAACTCAAGTATTCTCCTAGAAGCTCGGTCTGACTAAGCCGCAGCAAGGGAACCGTTGAGCTTCGCGTGAGCATCATAGATGGAAGGCGTCATCATGTCGCCCACAAGCTTTGCCGTGAGGACAGCGCACATGAAGGGCACGATGTAGTTCAGCTCACCTGTGCTTTATGCGGCCACGTGGACCAGACGCCGAAGCAAGAACAGCAACTACAACACACAGGCCCGAAGCCAAGCAAGGGCTCTACTCAACTCAATTTCGTGACCTCGTCAGGCAGCTAGCATCGAGCACCCGCAATGTGGAAGATTGAAATGGTTTTTGTGCCGAGCTGCCAGTCAGCTCGAACATGATCACCACCAGCGACACCGTCATACGGCAGAAGCCGGACAGCATGCTAATGGCGCCTTGCAGGGCTGTGAGCATGAAACGTTGATAGCAAGCACTACAAGCTGCAGCCAGACTGAAAGGCAGGATATGATCTGATGATGCCTACGCTCAACAGTTCACAGCAGCTGAGCAGCAGGTGAAACTATATAGATGATGATGGTGATGATGATGATGATGGGGATAATCGGCTATGGGCCTGTCTATCAATGTGTCTAATGCGCCCTGCAGCCGGTCCTTGCCTACCATGGCGAAGACGGCGGGCTCGATGTGGACCGGGAACTGCGACACGGCAGCGGCCAGGCGAAAGATGAGATTCCCGATCAATCGACCCAGCGCGGCACCGACATACAGGGAGGGGATGAAGAGCCCCGAAGGAATGGCAGCTCCAAAGGTGTACGTGGTCTGGAATAGACGGATGATGGCCGCTATGAGTAGCCAAATGTTCTCGGGCAAGCTAATGTTGGCCACTGCCTCGTCGTCTGGATCGCAAAGGCCAAAGTGGCTCGGGCGGGCATTGGGGCAGGTCTCGAACATCGCATGGATGGCCTCTGTTGATAAAGACCGAAGCAGCTGTGTGAAGGGGTAGCTCAGTGTAGCCGTGACCAGAGCAATGATCACGCACTCCACCACATTGAGGGTGCCTCGCTGTCTGCAAGCAAGATGGGGTAGAAACCACACACGCCCCTGCTGCAAGGACTGGCGACGCTGGGAGGTGCACCACAAGTTCATCATCACAAAAAGTCCGCCGCCGATGCCACCGGTGACCCCGATCAGGAAGAAGGCCAACATCTCCCAAGAGATCCATTCCTTCCGTGCCGTGTGCGTTGGGAGTGAGAGGGCGAAGAGTGTGAGCCGGTTGGCACCCGTCAAGTTCAGAGACTTCAGGGTGAAGCTGGCTGCGAATGCTGACAGGAAAGCCAACAACAGGGTCCTTTGACTCAAGGAGCGTACAGAGCCCAGTTCCTCGACGGCGAAGAGCACGCCTCCCAAGGGTGCACCAAAAGCCGTGGACACGCCGGCGGCCGCTCCGATGCAGGCCATCTCATGAAAGGGCATGCCGGCCCGTCGAAGGCCTAGGGCTCCGCAAGCACGTTGCAGCGTTGAGGCCAGGCACACGCCGATGTGAATCAAGGGACCTTCCTTGCCCAGGGAGAGGCCGGCCCCAACGACCAGGCTAAGGCCCAGGGCTTTGGTCAGCAAGCAAGACCCAGTGAAGCTCAAGGGTAGGTCATAGCCTGACACAGCTGCCTTCACCTCGGGTATGCCACTTCCTCTGGCTGTCGGGGCATATTCGTAAACCAGATATGCTGCCAAGCCTGTGAAAACCAGCGATGCAGAGACGTACAAGAACAGTGAGAGAATCGCGCCGGCGGTTCCACTGAACTCAAAGAAATGTGCCCAAGGAACCCACACGACTCCGTCATCGCCAATCCTCAGCAAGTTCTTCCAGCTGTCTAGGGAAAAATGGAGAGACTGGGAGGCTGTCTCAATTCTTGCCCGGGTGCGCCGGCTTCTTGCACCTCAGCAGGTTGCTTCACACAGGAACTAAGATGCTGCTTCTATACTATACGTCTCTGTTCCAGTTGCAGTTGCGTGGGACATGACTGGTCACAGTCGGGCTTCCCACAAGAAGTGTTCATGCTGCTGCTGGTTTCCATTCGTCGAGAGTTCGCGCACATGTGGCTTTCTCTGAATCTTGACGTTGTGGCTGCGTTTGTTGGGGCCGTACCATAGGGCGGAATTGCCGATCGAAACAGGATCGGGCGACTGACTGTTTGCCGCGTCCTCTAAGATGTCATTCCCAGGGTCTGAGTTCCCACCGGTCTTTCTGTCTTCAAGCCCTAAGTTTCTCTCTTCGCCTTCTCAACCTTTTCTTCATCCCAAATCCAGTTTTATCATCAGGGGTTGGGCGGCACAAGGCAGGCCTGCTGGAATGTCTGGATAAACGCATACACGGAGATAATATACAGGGACCACTACCGCCCAGCACGCATAACACAATTACTACAGTCCAGAGCTCCATTCCGCTTTGGGTTTCAGGGTTCAGGGGTTGCAGGTTCCACCAGGTTGGTTGATGTCTTGGGGTTTCCTGCCCCCCCCCCCCCGCCGCCCCCGTTGCGCTCTTCACCCTAACAACCCTCTAGAAACACCCTTCAAGCCCTTGGGCCAGGACGCGTCTCGAGGACGTAATCCACATTCTCTGAGCCCCCGCAGCAGCGGTTGCGGTCTGCCAGAAGGATGCCCTTGCAGAAGCCGAAGCCTAGACTGCCACCAGTTGCCGGAGTTTAGGGTTTGGGGTTCAGGGTCTATAGGGTTGCAAGGTTCAGGTTCTTTGAGCTTCGTTGTTTTTTCCGGTGCCCTGTCGGGGTACACTGCAACTAAGCACGGGGATTCACAACGGGGACAGATTTGCCAGGGCTGAACATCTTGATGAGAATGTACGTGCAACGGCGAGGCTGTCGTGTCTATGTAAGGGTTCAGGCCTTCCGCTGTCAGAGCCCAATCCCTCGGACCCTGTGGCTTTCAACAAGACTCGGCCCTTTCTCGATACACTGGTGGAATGCAGCATCCTGAGCAATGAAGCCCAGCAGCGGGCGTCACCGAGGAAGTCGGAGAAAATCGCAATCGCACTTCCTTCCGCACAGCAGCAGCAGCAGCAACAGCAGCTTCAGCTTTTTCAGCATGTTCGCAGCATCTTGGCAGGTCTCATGTCCTACTAGTAGCTTCCAACGGCTGCCTGCTTGGGGCATGAGGGGTGTAGGTAGGACTTCATGGCCCAAATTCCTCTGAAGCCTAGCATGCCTGACATGCCCTGCGCAGGCTACAGAATAGAGCTGCACCGGTCCTGTGATGGCAGTGAGCACGCCCAGGAGCAATGCGATAAACCATGGAAGCAGACTGCGAACAATGTCAGAAGCCTGAGTATGACGAGTACGATGAAGTTTGGCTTCGACATGCATCAAGGATGTAACAATATTAACGTTTTCGCATACGGCACTTCGCAGGGCGAGAGCCGAACCGCAACATGACTTTGTCTGCAGCTTGAAGAGCCTGCTTCCTACTCAGCTGGCTTTTTTGCTTGTTGTAGGGCCCCTGTTGCATTAAACCAACCCATGTACTTTCTCGTGGGGTGTTATGGGCAGATCTCACTGCACGAAGGAGATGAACTATGTGTGTATAAGGCAGGGTGCGGCTAGCGGCTTCAGCCAGGATGTCATGGCTGTTTGCCTCTCGACGCCGTCGTCCAGGCCTCAGTGACACTGGCTGTCCACGGACGTTGCTGAGATGGAAGGAATCATCTACAAGTACCCTCAGCTAGTAGAATGCCTGCGACAAGGCCCTTGCATGAGGCCATCCAGAAATCCATGTAGGGTTTTGAGGAAGTTCAATCGTGCTTAGGGAGCACAGTCGCAGTCTGCAGCAGCGGCATCAATGTAGAGGCTGCTCAGTATGCCTTTGGAGGCTTCCACCCGCATCCCGCCCCAAACCCGTAACCCTAATATACATGATCACATCACGCCCCTCACGCTGAGACACACAGGGATGCGTGTCAAGCGCCAATTCAAACCCAGGAGCTTCGATGGTATTCGGTTCGAGGGGACTCGAGTTGCACAGCTGGCTGAAAGGCAAGCTCTCGTGCCATTCACCCACGCAGGAACCGTCGACAGCCATTGCGGCAAGCCATTTGCAGCCAAGCATTGCGGGATATCACGGGCGGAGTAAGAGTGTAAGGCTTTTTTTCTCTGTCCAAGAGTCAGAAATTTCTTGCATCCACTTTCTCCGGGTCTGAGCAACAATCACTGCGGGGGTGCTTCCAGAGCTGGAGAACGAACTCACACACACATGCAGGAGTGGGCCCAGGCCACAAACAGTCATGGGATGCCGATCCCTGAAAGGACTAGGGCTTTGAGAAGGCGGCTAGGGCCAGGGCTGTGTGTGCAGCTTTCGTTACCAGGCAGCTTAGGCCTTCCCATGCCTTCAGATTCAGTGGGCCTCCTGGATGAAGTCGGTCGCTTGCGGCTGGCATCGGCTGAATCGCCTGTCTGCCGAAAAAGTCGCCGGCGGCTTTGTTAACATATGGAGAACGTATTCCAGTAGAATGGACACTTGGGGTACCTCAGACTCATACTGTTGACAATATAGAGCCAAGATTATAAGAGAAAATGCTGGCACGCAGGCTCCTATTTCAGCACTTTCTCCAGAAATTGGGATCCCCATCTTCACTGGCTGAGGGCTTGCCGGAATCCCCAGCTGAGCGCATGGCGCCGGCAGAAGCAAAGCCTGGCAATGGACGGGCTTTGGGTACTCCTGCGACGGCAAGGTTCACCTTCTTCGACGGCAAGCTTCACCTTCTTCGAGCGATCAGAAGAACCACAAGTTCTGCGCCCTCAACCATGAGCCCTCAGAGGCACTCCGCTTCACCCAGCCTGCCACCAGAGCCTTGGGCTTTGTAGCAGCAATTGGGGGACTTTCGCGGACACCCGCAGGACTTCGGACTGCAGCTTCTTGGATTCTAAGCTTTCTGCCAGCGGCTGCAGGCCGAGCGCATGTCGCCATCGGCCACAGGGGGTCGTGACTTTTGTCAGATCTCCCGCACGCTTCAACTTCAGACTGGCCATGACTGGATCGCCAGTGCAGTGGTAGACTCATTAACGGGGGGAAAGCACGTCGTACAGCTTGCCCCTGACAGCCTGAACCCCTACCGTAAAAGTTCCTGTTGCTGAACATTGCTGAACGCATCCGAACCCTGTTGACGCGAGAGAAACAGCGGCAGGCCGGTTAGCACATGCAAATCACACAGCTGGTAGCAGCCCACCACCAACGATGGCCACTTTAGGGTGAGGGGTCAACCCTAAAGCATCCTAAAACCTTATGGGTTCAGGAAGGCAGGAGTTCACAGCGAAACTGGCTGCTCTATTTTGCCTCGCGCCCCAGAAAGATGACGTCAGAGCGGCATGCTTGCAAGATGATTGGGTGCATCAAATTTTCTGGCTGTCGAATTCTGCGAAAGCATCGTCGAGGAGCTCAGTTCTTTCATCACCTTGCTGCCCGGATCAAGGGTGTCAGGGTTGAATCAGGGTTCAGGGTTTGCTTTTTCATGAGCCATGTTCAATAAGCTGGCCTTGCAAGCAACGAGACTTAGTTCCACGAACTTATGCCAGGGACTGCATTTTATGTTTGCATACGATTGCAGGGTTGAGGGCCCTTGGGAGGTTCTCCTGCGGGGATAGGCCGCCCTAAATCAACCAAGTAACTCGCGAGATCCTCAGTGGGGCCGGAGCTGGGTGTCAACTTCCTCCCAAGCGCCCGCGCACTTCGAGGGCTCCTGACATCGACATGCCACGAATTAAGGAGTTGGAACACCCGACAGAATCAAGTTCAATAGAGAAGTGCACAGCGCAAAATGACAAATAACACTCTGACACACACACACACACACGCACGCGCACACGCACACGCACACGCACACGCACACGCACACGCACACCCACACCCACACCCACACCCACACCCACACCCACACCCACACCCACACACACACACACACACCCACACCCCCACACCCCCACACCCCCACACCCCCACACCCCCACACCCCCACACCCCCACACCCCCACACACCCACACACCCACACACCCACACACACACACACGGAGATAAGAGAGTAAACTCTCATTGGCTTCCCTGTCCGAAGATCTCATGCATGTTGATGAGAATGAAGTAGTAGGAGTACTAATGCATTCGACACACACACAGACACACACACACACACACACACACACACACACACACACACACTGAGGGCCCACACCCACAGCACTTCAAACGCTGCACTGAGTGTGTATGTTTACTACATGACCAAACCGAAAAAAGGTTGAAGGGAGACAAGGCTGTGCGGTAGTTGAGCTGTTCTTTACGTAGCTGTGCAAACCAAGGCGCCGATGTCCCAAGGTGCAAGCCATCTGGAGCGTTCGGACTTGAAATTGTTTGAGGACCGAGGATTCCGGGTTTTGAGGGTACATGATGTCACAAGCAGTATAGTGGATACCAGCTGCAACAACTTGCCCAGGTACTCCACGCGCAGGTACGTTTTCCTGCCCGATGACATAGAGCTTCGTTGGCGCGAGCTATGTCAAAGGACCTCGCGCCCCCTGCATAAAATACATTCTCCGTCAGTCTTCTGTACGAAATATCCGGCCAAGCCTCAAAGACTTTCCAAAAACCCTTAGCTTAGAATCAGGGTGCACACACACACGCCCCTCCGTCAGAGGGGATAGCCAAGCATGCGGTTTATTTCCGGTTCGTCACAGATCCTATCAACTAAAGGAACAGAAAAGGCTAAAGGAGCCGAGCATCACCAATCCATCCAAAAATTCCATTGGCGCTGAGGCCTCTATTGCGGTCCGGAGGACCTCCATTAGGCCCCACCTCGGGCCACACGGGTGCTAAGTCCCACCATTTTTGCTCTTGGGACTAGCCCTCTGTTGCCCATCCACCTAAAAGTTACTCATCGCTCGAAAGCGGTCTAGTGGGCTCCATGCGTGGCACTAGGCCTCTCGACCCAACCTGCTAGGTTATTGGGCCTCCATGGTACCATGATGAGTCGCGCAACGACCCGTACAGCTCCCTCGCGGGATAACTGCGATTGGCAACAAGGCCACACACGGAGATAAGAGAGTAAACTCTCATTGGCTTCCCTGTCCGAAGATCTCATGCATGTTGATGAGAATGAAGTAGTAGGAGTACTAATGCATTCGACACACACACAGACACACACACACACACACACACTGAGGGCCCACACCCACAGCACTTCAAACGCTGCACTGAGTGTGTATGTTTACTACATGACCAAACCGAAAAAAGGTTGAAGGGAGACAAGGCTGTGCGGTAGTTGAGCTGTTCTTTACGTAGCTGTGCAAACCAAGGCGCCGATGTCCCAAGGTGCAAGCCATCTGGAGCGTTCGGACTTGAAATTGTTTGAGGACCGAGGATTCCGGGTTTTGAGGGTACATGATGTCACAAGCAGTATAGTGGATACCAGCTGCAACAACTTGCCCAGGTACTCCACGCGCAGGTACGTTTTCCTGCCCGATGACATAGAGCTTCGTTGGCGCGAGCTATGTCAAAGGACCTCGCGCCCCCTGCATAAAATACATTCTCCGTCAGTCTTCTGTACGAAATATCCGGCCAAGCCTCAAAGACTTTCCAAAAACCCTTAGCTTAGAATCAGGGTGCACACACACACACGATACATCCTGAGTTACTTGGCAAGATTGTGGCGGGCCTTGTCGTTGCTCTTAAAGACGCACGAACTGCACCCAAGATCTTCTTACAACTTGCGGTCCTGGGAGTGGATTGCGCTGCATCTGGACTTGACCGGCCCCGACACGGGGCGGGCTCTTGGAGCACCTTGTGACGAGCGCTGCCGAGCTCTAGACCACCGTCCGTAAAGCCAAGCTGAGTCATCAGCGGATCCCAAGTACACCAAAAGGCTCTGTGGATCTCTTTGGGCGGTGCCTAGCTGCAGATTCAGGACATCACAAGGGCAACCCGCTCCGAAGCATTTCAGTTTCCCTTATCCTAAAGCCTCCGTGAGCCCTATAAGCCTAAGAGCCCGAACCACATACTACACTGTTGCATACGGGATCAAACCTTCAACCCCTTACCCCCTCCTGAAACAACCTAAGCTCCACCCCCCCAAGAAGGCCCTCATTGCATCTCCTTGCTGGGCACGGCGCATGTTCTTGACCATGGCCGAGAGTTCGGTTTGCCGGGCCCTCTGCGACTCCTGGGGCTGCTTCAATGGGTTTAGGGTTCCAAGGCCTTCAAGGGTTTCAAGGGTTTCAAGGGTTTGGGGTTTAGGGTTTCAAGGGCTTCAAGGGTTGAGTTTGGGGTTTAGGGTTTCAAGGGCTTCATGGGTTGAGTATAGGGCTTCAAGGGTTTGGGGGGCTTCTTTGTTTCATTAGGATTTTAGGGTTCCTGGCGCAGGCGGGAGAGTAATGAGACTTCGTATCAATGCCGCAACTTTGGGATGTGCAGCCTCACCGACCTACACAGACGCTCGACTCCTTGAGTAGAAAGTTCATCCTCTCGAGATCCATAGCCACCTTGTGTGCCTGTCAAAAAAGGAGGCTTGTTTAGAGTGCAGGGCTTCTTGTAACAAGGCTTCCCAGAGTGCTGTGCTCCACAGGTCATGGAAGGCAAAGACCCACTTTTATTTTCAACCAACTGGCAGAGGCACAACTTCTTCAGAAGGTTGCGTGTCTTGTGCTGCTCGGAAAACAGCAGAACCCGTCCCCAGAAGCGCAGTTCGGCGCTTTGCTGGCTTAGCTTCGGGGGGTCTGCTCGCACCTGCGACAGCTGCAAAACGACATCTCTGCCAGCTGCAGCAAGCTCTAGTACACGTGAACCGAGATGAGAATTACGATCTCTAACAGCTGTTAGCAAGGCTGCACCTAGTTCTCACATTGTCCCTGAACATTCGGAGGAACCTGAGTATCATGACCATCTCCTACAACCCGCTCGCCAACTCGGACGAGAGGTCTAGGAAGGTGCCTGTACATGGCTGCCCGCTTTCAAGCTTTTTGGCTCGTTCCGTGAGGAGCGTGTAGCCTCGCTCTTTCCGCGATGCAGACTTGTGAGACTGACCATGGTTGTTTCCCTACAAAGCTGCAGGATCGGAGTTTATGATGTAAAACAGAATATATATATATATATATATATAGACGATTCCAATATACACTAATATATAATACTTAACTCAGTTTCATAATTCATCTTATAAGCTGTGAGGATCGAAAGGTTGCGAGGGCTCTGAGCGTGTCTGGGGTCTACAATTGCACTCCAATCCCACTGAGCAATACTGGATTGGCCCCAGCGCCGCCCATCTTAGGAGACGCGGTCAAGTGCTTTGACTTACGATGGGGGAACTGTACATGAGCAATCGGGAGTGAGATCGCATTCTACTCGGTGAAGTGGTGCAGAATGATTATGCCTCTTGAAGTCACAGAAGCGCGTACAGGCCAGGGTGTTTACACGGAGACCAACGCGTGCACGACCACAGGGCAAGAGTGCTGTCGCACCGATGATCGTGTTAGAGTTCTGGTGCTAGCATACCGATGACATGGAAGCTGGCAAGAAAAGTGGATCCTAACTCAAGCATCAAGATGGGGAAAGAAGGAGAGAATCAGCCAAGACACATGAACATGTGCAGCAATGCTGTGGAACTGCCACGACATGCTTGGGCGCTCATTAAATCAATGGCGTTTGGACTCCGAAACAATGCGCTTACGATCCTTGGTAAAGACGCCTCGATCTCACATCCCGATTTACTCAGAAACAATGTTCTTGCTGCAGTAAGTTGTGGCACGCCGCGAAGCCATAAACTCCATTAACCCTGCCCAAGGCCCAAAAAACCAGCCTTACCCCCTCATGCCAAGTAACGGCTCCATCTGCCTACTGTAGCACGTAGCCTATACATCATAATGTCGAACTCAAGTCGCTGCTCACATTCGCTTGTCTCCGCCGCCGCACGGCAAACCCCG